AAAACAGAAAATAAAAGAATGAGCTCAATTTAGCARTATTTACGGTTACACCCCTAAGCCCTAAGTGTTTGCAATACATGCAAGCTCATTATATTTCTTGAAAACAATGTTGAATGATAAAATGGGTAAATGAATGAGTTAGAAGTCAGTGGTGTGTACATACATTGCAGATATCTGGCCATCTGTGTTCAGATGTCACCTTGTTGTAGTAAAATAATAGCTCTCCAGATTTGCAGAAGTACTCCATCCAGTCAGAAGTCAATGATGATGGTTCCATATCCTTATTATAGGAGGGGAAAAAATAATAAATAATGATTGAAGAAATAATGGTAAATAAAAGATGAAACACAGTTTGTTGTTATTTTTACTGATTCAACTATCCTGCAAYCTTTTTCTATAGTGGGTTTGGGTATTAAATGCAATAGGCTTATTAATATCAACATATCAAAGCTCAAGCTTACTAAACTGGAACATAATATAAACAGTGCATATGTAATTAATCTCAAAAGAAAACTTTTCCCGATCAATGCTCCAATCCTTGCACAAATCTATAACTTGTGGTAAAGATGCATCTTATAGCAATGTTAAAGCAACAGATGCCCAAGAAATATACCTGAATGTTCAATAGCGATCTCACTTGCAATAAATTACTTAGAATTTGGCGCGAAAATGCTTCACTTKGTTGATTCGAACTGTGAGGAATTTCTGTGAGATTTCTTCAGCGTCCTGAAGCTATAGATCTTCTATTTCATCGAACTTTCAGTTTGCTTTCACTGAGATGACATTTAGCAGGCTTAAAAAGGTCGAATAACGACCGAATAACTATTTTTCTGTGAACACTGTAATACAACATGTACAACGTCTTCAGATAGATGACGAAATCGCGGGCGCAAAGTACAACAGGGTACCCAAATCACAATCTATTATCTTTGATACTATTTTTACAAGTGGATTGTTCCTATCTCACTCAACAGCACAAATCTATGGGAAGGATCCTACTTATTTTGGCAATTTACTTAATTTTAATGGAAAAATGTACATGTAGATCCAAGGCACATATTAAAACTAATGATTGCGGAAGTGTAAAATGTAATGGACAATCAATGGATCATCCAAATAAAAGGATAATAGTAAAAATAGAAATCAACAATTAAAAAGAGTCATTCAGAAAAAACTTTAATAACAAACAAAGAAACTAAATGTTTGGGCTTCCTGTGCAATTTTGAGAAAGTCAGCGGTTTCATGTACCTTGTGCGAAGGCGCAGAGACATATCATTCAAAGCAAAGTTTACACTACATGTATTTCTTTTTACTATTATAACTGATTTATCATTCTTTGGYCACTTTGCAGTAGAGTAATATACCGAAATGCAAAAGACTCATCCAGGACACAAGTTTTCCGCTAAACAAAGAACAGCTGACGTCTTGACAGAAGAGGAAGTAGACTTCGAGTCACTGCTCCTTTCGCCATCACTCGTACAAGGACTGACAGACTCTGGTTTTGAAAAACCATCACCGATACAACTGAAAGCTATTCCCCTCGGAAGATGTGGATTAGGTAAATAATGTGTGTCAAAACTCTGCAAATTTGTCTTGCAACTCAAAACCATGACGTTGTTAATACGATATTTAATGTAAGCTTTTATAACTTAACTTAAGCTTACATTTGACTGTGTAGCTCAAGGACTCTGCAGGCTTATTGAATAGCAGTTGTTATAAGTTAATAGGAAGCCAAGGCGCGTTTTTGTATTAAACAGTTAAATCAATTCACTTTTTTAAACGGTGATCTAAGCAGCTTTTCATTATAAAGTTATAAACGTTTTATATAATACTTGATTGACAGCTTGTGGGATACCTGTGGTTKCATTTTTTTCTCTAAAACGAAACGTCTCCGAACAGCCAGAATTTAATAGACTTCTAGTGCAAACTCATATTCATAATCCTATGAATCATGTTTATCAATTTATTATTAATAATGTAAGTGATTGCATTGTTTTTTAATTTAGATTTGATTGCTCAAGCCAAGTCTGGTACTGGAAAAACATGTGTTTTTAGTGTTATTGCCTTAGAGAGTATTAACACAGATACTGCAGCCACTCAGGTTAGCTGGATGATRTTATTAATGTAGTATTAACTAAACTACATTTGCACCTGGAATTACAGTTTTGGACAGTTCTTGCATATCTTATGACATTGTTAATGCTACACAATACAAGTTCTATATTATTGTACTTTAAGCAGTCTTTGCATTTATAGTTTATAGTTTCCTTTGTGCTCGTTTTCCCATAGGCTTTGTAATGTATTCGTTTTCAGCGTTTTGTGTTCGATAGATCATGTAATTAGTCAGTGCCTACTTGTTCGCCGTACCGTCATAACATAAGTTGAATTTCGTTCTTGTAATCGTTTTGTAGTTACAATATTTGTAATTTCATCGTTCTAACCAGCCTTTATTTATGTATTTATGTTAGTATTGAACCTACTCAAACTACTTTGAGATAGAAATAAAGATATTGATGAGTTCAATATATGTACGTGAGCACTTGGCGAAATTAATGGCACCAACAGACATGATACATGGTTGTATATTTTGTGGATGTAGGTGTTGATTTTGGCACCTACAAGAGAGATTGCAGTCCAAGTCAAAGATGTAGTCAATGCTATTGGTTGCCATATTAAAGGTCTAAACTGTCAGGTCTTTATTGGTGGACTGCCTCTGGATGAAGATAAAAAAGCCTTGAAAGGCTGTCATGTTGCTGTTGGATCTCCAGGTAGGCTTTTGTTGTTTCAAGTACCTGTACAGTACTGGTGAATTTTGAACAAGAGAGCAAGAAGTATGAAGTCATACAATCATATGAAGTAATATGGCAGCTCAATGTGATACTCTTTGCATTAGAGCATTACCTGATTTAGTATTTATTAAATGGCTCTCTATCATGAAATGAACAAAAGTTATAGCCCTTTTCAAAAATTTGTATTCTCCCAACCATTTCTGATTTAAATTAGAAATTGATTTTTTACGTTGGTRATATATAAAATATGAGCGGGAGACYTTTATAGGCATTTAAAACTGTGAGCTGCAAGCGAGCAGTTTTATAGCCCATAAAGGTCGGACGTGAATATTTTATATTGCTTMTCAAATTCCAACATAAAGTAAAGCATATTATTTYGAGAAAAACTTCAAGATAAAATATCATTTGAAWGAGAAATCCAAGTTAAAGTGGTATGCAAATCAGGACAAATCTCTTGCTCCTTTAAAGATGCGGTCACGACAATGATTTTCCATTGTGTTTGCCTTATAAATTATTAATGAATTTSATAATCTTCAAAAGAAATCAAGTTATTGGATTAATTAAGTGTTCAATTYGATGTTTRCTGTAGGTCGTGTCAAGTACCTTATTGAGAATGGTTTTCTGAAGACTGAATCTGTAAGAATGTTCATACTGGATGAGGCTGAYAAACTTCTGGACGACAATTTCCAAGAGCAAATCAAGTGAGTTCAATGTAGCATTATTAAGCCACTTGCAAATGAATGCAATAACTTCTAACATAGTTTGAGACWTTCCAGGAACAAAAAGTGTTAAAATAGTTCAATAAATATGCTGTTTACTGTTTGACTGACTTCAGTTTTCAATGTAATTTATACAGTAATGAATGTAATGTTCTCCAACAGCACCCAGCATTCAATTTAAAACAGGGTGCCCAAACAGCAAACCTTGGTCATTCAATTCTAGATACATTATACATGTAGTTCAGTTTAGCAGTTTGTTGGCCAGGTACTAGTACTACTAGAATAATCATGTGACTTATTTTGAATTTGCTTTCTCACACATCCAGTTGGATTTACTCAACACTCCCATCAAACAAGCAAATGATGGCTTTCTCTGCAACATACCCAGAGTACCTTGCAAACCACCTAACTAAATATATGAGAGAACCTACTTTTGTCAGACTTAATGCATCAGATCCAACTCTACAAGGTACATTTACCACTTGTTTGTACTTACCGTCTGTTTACTGTTAATTTTGATGATGTTCTTCTACCTTTAAAGTGTTGTAGTTTTGGTTTCAGAATTAATTATTGCAATGCTTGTTATGTAAAAATATATAAAATATGAGCGGGCAGACCTTTATGGGCATTTAAAACTGCGAGCTAAGCGAGCAGTTTTATAGCCCATAAAGGTCGGACGCGAATATTTTATATTGCTTATCAAATTCCAACATAAGGTAAAACATATTTCGAAAAAAACTTCAGGATAAAATATCATTTGTAAGAGAAAATCAAAGTTAAAGTCGTATGCAAATCAGGACAAATCTCTTGCTCATATAAAGATGCGGTCACGGCAATGATTCCATTGTGTTTACCTTATGAATTATTAATGAATTTGATCAATATTATTTGAATTAATTCAATCCATGAAAAAATGAATATTATGACAAAAGGAAGAAAAAAGGGATTTTTCTATCATATACGTGCATGATATTTTTGTGTATGTGATGATATATTGATAATATGTACAATGTCATGTACTTATTGAGTGATACTCATAACTTAAGACAGTTAGTGAAATAATGCATTTTTGTGGTTCATAATCTAGTTCATTATGATATTCTTASATTGTATTCACTCAATCAGTCACTACTTCCACTTTTATATATTAAAAAAACTAATTTGTTCTATGATCCATGTCTGTCAGGGATTAAGCAGTTTTACTCTGTAGTGCCATTCCACCATCTACCTCACAAAGTCTTCCAAGAAAAGGTATTTAACACATTCAGGGGCATATAGCAAGAATTAAATCATTTTTTTTTTGTGTGTGTGAAGAGGGTAGAAGGGAATAGAGATGGGGGCAAGGCAGTAAAAGCTTGAATAATTGCAATTGTGTTTTTTTTATTTTATGTAAGCTATGCTAGTGTCCACATGTCAATACATTATACAGGTCATGTACATGTCGCAAAATGGTAAAATAGGTTAATTATCTTATTGCAGCAGTAAGTGAAAAGCAGATATTATTCACTGCTTTAATTTATAATTAAAAAAGAGTAATTTCTAAAACTTAAATAGATTTAAATTTAGAGCATAATATTCAACTTTTAAAAGCGTTATGAATTTTTGTACATATCTGGACAGTAACAGTGTATCAGTCAGGCTAATCTATTTTGTATTTAGGTTGAACAACTCGTAAAGCTTCTGTCCAAGGTCAACTTCCACCAGTGCTTAATTTTTTCAAACTACCAAATAAGGTATAGTGAAGTCTCATTTGACAGATGTAATTTGCATTTTGGCAGTAGCTCTTATTGAACATTTTATTCAGTTCCAAGAATGTAAGTAGAAATGTACGATTTCAATTTCTGCATCTGCAGTGTTCTGAATAGTAACCACTAGATAATGAAAATCGATGCTAATTGCTTACTAGTTAATCGTGGCTGTTTGATGAAATTATTTGCAGTATTTTGTAATACAGCTGCATAACTTCTGTTATGACTGGTCAGTGGTCTACTATTTTTCTACTGAGAACGCTGTGTCTATCTACATGTACCAATTTATTAAATACACATTCATTCATAGGGCACAAAGTTTATCATCAACCCTGTGTTCAAAAGGGTGGCCGGCCACTTTCATTGCAGGTAATAAATTGTAATGTTACAAGTTTTGAAATTGATGGGACTGTGCATAATTGCCACCTACATGTATTTTTTACTATATTTAAGTTTCTGTTAGTAAGTCCACATTACAACTACTTAAATAGCAATTGAAAATACATGATTTCAAGGAGTCTCCTCGCAGCTGTTCTAAGTGGCGGGCTCCCTGTCCCCCGCCCCGGGAGCCCTCCACTAAGGATGGCTGAGAGGAGACTAGATTTCATGGTGCTTTGATCTAATTTTAATAGGAAGCCAAACGCAACAAAAGAGACTGCAAGCCATGGAAAAGCTCAAGGATTTCAAATGTAGAATACTCATCTCCACTGATCTGGTAATTGCTTGTTCATGCATTAATTGTTTGTTCATCTTTTTACTGTCATTTTTATTATGTAGAAGTTTAAGGTAAGGCATCAGTTGGGCAAAGAGAGCAGTTCATGTATCTCATGGATAGTTCCTAAGTTATTTATTTTTTGTAAAGCTCATTGCATGATTTTATCTATTTTCTTTGAAAAGAAATATTATGTTAAAAAAATCTTTCTCTTTATTTAGACGGCACGAGGTATTGATGCAGAGAACGTGAACCTTGTGGTTAAYATGGACATACCTCGAGATGGGGAAACTTACCTTCACAGGATAGGAAGAGCTGGCCGATTTGGTGGGTATTAAATTATTATTAATAATTATTTTCTGTTCTTTCATTTGTTTATTAAACACTCTTGAAAAACGTGTTATTTAATGATAAATATATATAATCTTACTGTAGGAACAAAAGGTGTTGCAGTTACATTTGTTGCCAAAGGTAAAGAAGAGAAGGATCTCAAAGAACTACAGAAAAGTATTAGAGTATTAATGGAGGCTTTACCAGGTAAAAAACATGGATAGCTACTAAGTAATCAGATAAATCTCTTTGATATCTCTAAGCCATTTATGAATGGATAATCGTATCAAATCTCTTGTATAGTACTGAATTACAGCGGGTTATCGATATTAGATTAATGATTTAAAAACTATGTTAACAAACCAAAGACTTTATGCTGTGTGGCTGCAATTATTTTCAAAAAGGKTAAATATTACTAGGTACATTTTGTAGCTGCATGATAGTTTTTTTCATTTTAATTTGTAGCCTGTGTATATCCGTTTCCCATTTTAGGGAGGGGTGAGAAACGGATGTACACAGGCTATTTAATTTGTATTCTCCACAGGGACCATCCCAGAGTCATTGATGGTAAGCGAGACACCAGTAACTGATGATCAAAGTCTACAGAAAGATAGCATTGAAGTAAATGTTCTTTACAAAAACACTGCCATTGACACATTTCAGTCTACAGTGGAACTAAGCAAATCAAAGAATCAATATTGTGCATTCAAAGACAAGAATATGGATCGCAATGTTGAAGATATTCCCTCAAAAAGAAACAACAGCAGTTTTACGTCAGAGCTGCTAACAGGAGAATATTGTAAGGAGATAATRTCTCCATCAAAACCTAAGGATGGTTTAGAGAGCTCAGAAAATGCTTCAAAAGGTGGTGTTGATTCAGGACGACCAGAAACAAATAAGCATCTTGAACAAGAAAAATCCTCCATCAATTGTATTCTGTCACCAAAATTTGATGATAAAAACACTAGTCACTTTGACAAAATGATAAATAATAACTCCACAGAAATGTTTATGGCTAACATTGACAATCCCGCAAATTCAAAAACACCTGAATCAAAGAACTGCGAAGATTTCTCAAAATTACAGAAAAATATAGACAAGGAGGTAATAGATTTATCAGAAAATCCTACAGGCATTATTGATCAAGTAAATCATACTCTACCGTCAGTAGATGAGTTTGATAAAGATTTTGAGGAATACTTAGCTTTTACAAATGAAACTCAAACCACTTTTCAAGGAAGCAATGAGGTACTTGAAATAAGTAGTGATATATTCCATCACCAGAACGTCAATGACACTTCACCCAATCCTCCWGGCAGCTGTATTGAGAAATGTTCAGATATAGGTTGGAAGAATGAATGTGAGAATGATGATGTTCAAAGTGTCTCTTCTATTGATGACTATGATGATAATGTGGACAGCGATGCTTGTGGTTATAATTATAATGATAGGAATGATGATGAAAAGGTTGCAAGTGGTTGTGGAACGAGTAATGAAAGTTCACTCAGTGATGACGGAGATCCTGGTGACAGCTTTTCTGAAAGTGACAGCAGTGATGATGGAGAGGTTCCAAATGGTCGTGYAATAAGTAATGAAAGTTCAAACAGTAATGATGACCCTAGCAGCAACTCCTKTGAAGGTGACAGCAGGGATGATGGTGATACAAGAAGTGGAGATCATACTTCTGAATCTCRAGATGATTCAGCTGATGATAATTATGAGCAACACAACATCCAAACTCATTATGAACAAAAATATGGCAAACACACATTAGGWAACCAGACTGTTTTGCATAGTGAAATTCAAATTGATTCATCATCTAATAAAGTCGTAATGAACGACCATCCAATAAACGGGCATTGGAAAAATGAGGACTTAACTAAAGATTTATCACACAGAACCAATAGTAATAATTTCACTGATGGCACCCAAGAAGGTAGTAAAGAATCAAGGACTAAATCAGTTCAATACAACAGTTGTAAGAATAAAGATRAATGGAGTCAAAGTGAGCCAGGATTTGGTTCTTACAGAAAGTGGAATCGCTTTCATTCAGATATTTCAAGTACACAGGAAAATCATTGCACCTCATACAATCATGCTACATACCAACAATTTGGACAAGGGCACATGGAAGATGAGTTTGATAGAAACGTGGATTATGGCCATCATTTCAATCATGGGTCAGAAACGTTTAACAGCCATACAAATTCAAACCAAATGTGTTGTGGAAATACTGTATGTCCAGGGGATTTTCAGTGGAGGAGGGCATGGTATAGTTCATTCTATACAATTAACAGTACTATCAGACATTTTGGAAAGAAAAGAAATTAGAAATGTGGGTTATTATGGCGGAAGAGTTTCTTATATGGAAAMCATGAATAATGTTGGCTTTGATCTGCATTAGTGCTACTACATTCTTCTTCTTTTCTGCTAGTTTAAAGCATGGCACATTGCGAGTACCATTTCCTGCACTTTGGCATGTCAGCTACAATCTTCTCAGCTTCCTTCCAACTTTTCCACCCGATCTGTTTCCTTTACTTTTGAATTATCTRCCTCCATGTCTCCCCTGAAGTGCCTATGTCATGAGAATGGGCGAGTACAATGAAAATAGAAGACAGCATAAGGACAGGAGATGGGAATGTTGGTTATGAGCTGAGAAAGGAGAGTAATGATGACAGACAATTGTATAGGTGAGGGAACAASTTCATTTTGTTGTTAATTGAACCAAAAAATGACAAGAATATACATCGATTGCATGTTTTGATTAACATTTTATTAGTATTGAATGTTTAAGTATGTATTAATGAAAAGTAAAGTATTTATTATCTAGTGAAAATGTATACAATTATTGTAAATGTGCCAATTATTGTAAATATGTTTAGTGTAAAACAGAAAAAAGACGTTTTGGAATGTGTTATAACAAGCAATGCATTCATTGCATTAAGACAATGAGGCGCTCCTTTTTTTTCTGAGAATAGCAAAATTCTCAATTAGGGATAACAAAAGATTTACTACATGTTCCAGTGTCCTTTTTCACACAYATTTTATTGATTCAAAATTGTTGTGCATGATACCTACACACGAAAAGACCATTGCAAAAGAGCTTGCATCTCAAACACTCTTAAACTTCCTCCAGTTCATTCTGAACTCWAGGGCATGAAGCCTATGTGAAAACTAAGTGAGTTGGGGTTTGCGCAGAGATTGACTGTGTCATTTTGAGACATTGGAAGACTGAATTTGCTGATTTGTGGGTTATTTCTCAGCATTTCCTTCAGCTTGACCAGTGCGACAACATCATGCCTTTTTAGTATGACCACCATCCTAAGTAATATAGTTGGGTGATGTGTCTGATTTTAGGCCCCATGTCACTGCCAGGGCATCTCATTTTATGGCTGTTTGGCAACAGTGTGGAATGCCAGAKGGGCAGTTGCAATGTTGTTATACTATCACCGACATCTAAATGGCATTATGACTGTCTTGAAATGATGAAAAGGTGGGATACTGTGGTAKCTATTCCAGGCTGTCTTTTGGAACTCTTGGAAAGGCAATTCAGTGGCAGAGTTTTTACGCTGAAAGAATTTGTGTCGCGAGTAAAGGCCAGGTTTACGACTTTGTAGGGAGGGCCATCATGCTTCCTAKTCAAAACCATGTGGCACCATGTCACTTGTTCCCCGTATAGGTTTGTGCCACTAACTGGCGGTAATGGACAGGGTCCCGTCTGATTCTTCGACTCAGTTTGTCCTGCAGGTACTCTGTGTGTCTTCTTACGATGGAAGGTCATTTGAAAAAAGGCCTATGTTGTTCAGCGTTACTACTTGTAGCCAGGACAGGTGCATGTTTTGGAAGGAGTTTCATATCATTTCTTTCTGCTTGATCATGACCAGCGTTACATCATCATTCACTGGCCTTTCCAGTGTGTTCATCATCCTATAGTATGTATTTCCCAAGGGTATCATAAATCTAATTTGATAGGTGTAMCCCACGGGCTTGCCAAACTTGYATTCAGMCCTGGATGAGCAWGTTTCTGCTTTGGCCTGTATCTGAGCAAAAACGTTGCAGAAAGCCTWGTCCCGCTCATGGTGGRACTGAATGAGCACCTGTACAAATGGCCAAAGTGTCTTTTTGGGTTATTTTTTAATCCTTACCAATGATGGCATAATTGTCTTCAATTCCTACATACAACCCTGMAGAAAAGACTTGCGGAACATTGCTGCAAGAAAGACATAGCTATTTAAACAGGTAAGTATTCATTTGTATATGTGTTTGACAATTGTATTATGGATTAAGGGATTTATTAATTTTCTTCAAAAGGTGAGTTTGATGCTATATTT